TATGACCCATTGAGTAGGATTAGACAATATAGTCTGTAAACCACATCAGGAAGCATGTGGCATGGTATGCATATTAGAAACTTGGAAATCCCAGCTTCATCTTTTAATTTATTTTGTTAAATGAGTTGTGATATTTGTCATCAAGGAATTGCTTTGCCTCTCTGTATTCTCCCCTTGAACAGTTCAAAGTGCAGTCTTTGGAACTGGCAGATCTAAACTGCTTCGGGCCTGTGTACATCAGATTGTCTCCTTTGCTAATGTTCCATTGTGAAAACAAATCCATACAACTGCTGAGTTTGTGCCTCTCACCTTCATGCTCCTGCCCAGGGGGATTGTGAGCAGCTGCAAGGGCAGAACTAATCTTTTTGCCCAACACAGCAACCCAGATTTGTTGCCTTTGGCAGTTCTACAGGCTTGCACATTTCTCTTTCGACCCCTTCCCCCAGGTATACATTCTATGCATTTTGAACTTTGTTTCAAGTTTATTGGTTTTAAATCTGGCCCACGGTTTCATCACTGTTCATCTTCAACTATAAATACATCCTTAATCCTTTCACCCAGACTATTAATCAGGACGGATTCCTGTGGAATATCATTTAATTCCTCCTCCCACCTTGATAGTAATGCCCTAATTGTTACCACACTGGCTGAAATTGACTGCATCTTGGAACATCTGAAGCTTTCCAGTCCCGTCTCTTGGAGGTATACTCGCCCCTCTCCTATTCCTTGTGGGAATATCATGTGGGACATTATCTTTTCTTTTTTTTATGACCCCCGGAGGGGATTTTTTAATATATATATAATCACTACAAACTACAGCAGAAAAAAGGTAAGGGACTACATCTAGGGACAAAGCAAAGATACCCACTAATGACTAAAATCCTAAGAGAGGAGATCTTCTAATCAGTTTAAGCATACATCAAATCTTAATCTCGTTAATCCCATTATGAACTAGGTCAAATATATTTTTTGTTAACTTTTTTCCCAATCTTAACCTCATTAAGAAATACCCCAAAGCATCTCATTTCAAAAACTCAAAGGCACAATTCAGTGTCCTTCAGCCTTCACTTCTCTTTTCCCAGTCTCTTCCGCAGTTTATAAGGACTTTTAGGAGCCGCTGGCCCTTTCTCTGAAAGAGAGTCCTCTCCGGAAGATCCCGAGTCTAGCTCACCCCTGGAATTACTGTCCATCCCTTCTTTTTCTTCCTCCACTGGCCCTCCCAGCTGGACTCTCAAAAATTCCCGTGCTTTCAGAACAGAGTCAATCTTTTCTTTTTTATCCTTAATTTTGAAGGTAATGCATTCTGGAATTAGCCATCTGTATCCTATTGAGTTTGTCTGAAGAAAGAGAGTTAATTCTTGTATTTCTTTGTCTTATTTCACATGGAATGTCTTTTAGTACTCTGATGGCATTCTCCCCGTCTCTCAGGGTGCTCCAGATACTGCTTTCAGGATTGCATCCCTCACATGCCTCTTCAAGAATCTTACTACAATTTCCCCAGGCAGATAATTTTTCTTTATGTATCCTGAATATGACTTGAAGGCCACATCCATTTCGCTTAGCAAAAGTTCCGCCTTCATATCTGTCACTGGGGCCAATATTTTGCTCATCCTTTTCTTCAGATTCTCTCCCTTGGTCTCTGGCATGCCCTGGAAGCGAAGAATCATGTTAGCCTTTTCCATTTGTAATTGTAGCAGCTGATCTTCTGTAGAAACTTGCTTCTTTTCCAGTTTTTGTACTTTCTTCTTCACCTTTTGTGCAGTGGCGTCCACTTCTTTCACCTTCTCAGCTGTTTGGTTCATCATTTGCAAAGTCTCATTTATCTGCATTTGCTGAGTGGTGATGCACTGGGTCATTTTTGTCATCTGCTCTTTGAAGTTATTCATCTGGTCCATCAGGGGGCGCATGGATTCTGCCAAAGTTTTTGCCAGCTCATTGGCTCTCAGTTACTTTCGATTTCAAAAGTTTTTCTTTCTCCGTCCTCTTCCCCGCCATCTTTATCGATTGTTTACTTTCGCATATTTTTAAAAAGTCTCTGAATATGCACTCAAACACTCAGACTCGCTTTGGTAAGTACTCCTTGACAGTTTTAACCACGTTTTCTTCTGCTCCCCCCCTCATTCGCTCATAAATTCATGCGCATGGGAGGCGTCCCTCCCCCGCTCGCCTGATTTTCTGTTCCGTGGGATAGGGTGGGGAGCTTTCTTTTCTCTTTAATCAATGCTTATAGTCTGACTCACGTTCATAATTGGTCTTCCGACCTCGATTACACTCCATATCTCACGCTCGATCTCCTGCGCTTGCCCCGGTCGGCGTCACTAAGCCCATTCGGTCTCGCAGCATGGAGAACCATCGGAACGGAAAGGCGCCTCAATTCTCCGGCATTACGCCATTGAAGAGGCGACCTCTCAGAAGTTCCATGGCCAGGGTCCCTTCAACCGGGTCCCTGGGGGGGAGACGAGCCTGCGCACCCCCTCCTTCGGCTGGAGCGCAGCTTCTCCCCTGGGAGGTCCGGGAGGTGAGTCTGCTAGCGCGCTGCCATCAACCGGAAGTCCCATGTGGGACATTATCAAAAGTCTTGCAGGAGTCAAAACATTTTCATCCATTGAACCTTCTTTACCAGCTAGAGCAGTCCCTCAGTGGAACAGGCTTCCTCGGGAGGTGGTGGTCTCTCCTTCTTTGGAGGCTTTCAGGCAGAGGCTAGATGGTCATCTAACAGCAATGCTGATTCTGTGAATTTAGGCAGATCATGAGAGGGAGGGCAGGAAAGGTTGCCTTAATGCTTAGTTCTTGTGGCCCTTTCGTACATGCCCAGGAAAATGCCAATTGCCACTTTGGGGTCAGGAAGCATTTTTTCCTCCAGGCCAGTTTGGCTGGGGATCCTGGAAATTTTTTGTCATCTTTTTGGGCATGGAGTGGGAGTCACTGGGGGTGTGGGGGGAGGTATTTGTGAATTTCCTGCATTGTGCAGAGGGATGGACTAGATGACCCTGGAGGTACCTTCCAAATCTATTATTCTATGATCTTACCAAAATGAGTCACCCTGCCGAAGAAGTAAACTAGGCTGGTTGTTGTTGGCAGCTAATAGTGAAACCCATTTCCTTTACATGGTTATTTAAACTGTCCAGTTACATTCAGAAATGCCATGTAGTAGTAGCCTCTCCTTACAACTTAGATTTACAGATACTGCTGATCTCTCAGCATGATCTTCATAAAGTCAGCAGGACTACTCTGCAGTGAACATTTTGCACACACTAGTCTTGCTAAGCATCAAATAACTTCACATGCAACGTTCTAAATATTTCTTTTTAAATTAACATCACTGCTAGGAAGGAAAATGCATTGTTCTCTCTCTCTCACACATACACACATACAGAGCTTTTGTACAGCTGAAATCCCTGTTTAGATATTCTGTTGGAATGAATAAGTGTTTTGCTATGCAAGACAGACAAGAGCAGGACATTCCTTCCCTAGTCACTCTGTGCCCTTAGCTCACCCTAGAATCCCTCAAGAACCTAGTTACCTTCAACCTGCTGAGCTAATCTGATTTAGTACTAGATAAACAGGCTTCACCCAATCACTGGTGATCCCAGTCCAAGAGGTAAACCCACTGCCTTGTTCTTGCCTCAGTTTTGTAAGGTCAGCTTCTTTGAATTTTGTTTATAAACGAAATTGCTCTCCTTAACTGTGCCTTTAACTAGAACACAGATTACTTAATTCCTTTTGCTGACTCTAATTTAGATCTGGCTGTTTGTATGTAGCCCAGGTCACACTTGATAGTAGTACCAGTGTTTGCTCTCTTCTTGAGTAGCTGGGTTCTTAACTTGGGGATGTGTGTATGCTGTCCCTGAAGTTGGATCGGTGGTACAATTTCTCACCCAGAAGCCTCCTTCTACACACACCTGTGTCCCTTAGGTGGATTAGGATGCAAAACCCACTATTTTTCGTTCTTTCCCAACAGGCAGCAACTAGATATTTAAATGTGGACCTCTTTTCAAAGCTCATTGTAAAAACTGTCCACTGTGATCATATGCAGAATTACCCCAGGCTAATTCCAGTGAAACAGTGGTCTTAGATTGGAGTAACTACATGTAATAAATCAGTAAATCACTATATTTTTATTCCCAGTGAAAATCACCTTGACAAGGACATAAGCAATGGCATGCACTTTACCTCCCTCAAAAGCTAATAATCGTACAGATGTTTTATATTTCATGAAAATTCAAGTGAGACAGATTGGCTCAGGGATGGAAAGTCAGGCCTTATTGGAAGCCATTACTTTCAGCTCCCCATTGTACTGTTTGGGTGTGTCATCTTACAGGAAACTGTCTGAAAGCCCATTTTGCAGGGCTGCAAAGTAGTATGTGCTGTGCCAATAAACCATCCTTTCAGGAGAATCAGTCTGCAGCAAGTTAGGTCAGAAGTTCTGTGTCTGGTCTCTTTGTTGTTGTGGTTAGCATTTTCCTTGTAAAAAGCCTCAAAGCACAGCACTGGCAAAACACTTTGAGATTCAAGGCCAAGAACAAAACATAGAATTAAATAGACACAAGAGGCGGGACCCGCAATACTCGCGCGGGGGGGGGGAAGTATTCCCCACAGCTCCCGGCTTGCAGAAGCGGCAGCAGGTGAGCCCAGCCTTCTCCCCCCCACCCCCTCCCCTTCTCTGGCGGCGTCAAAGCCGTTCTAAGAGCGTTCCCTGCACATGCGCAGGGGGCGCTCTGTTACTTTTGGGGGGTTTAAATATTCCCCCTATATTTTTTTACAGTTTTCAGATTTTTCTGCACACCTAGGCATTGTCTCACGTGCGCAGGAAAATCTCCCTGCCCCCCAGGTGCCCCCGATGTGTGGATTTAGATATCCGCACACAGGGGGCGCCTTCGCTATTAGATATATAGATTATGGAAGGGATGGGGCTGAAAGGTGAGCAAAATTGTTGTGTTGGTAGATACCGCATAATTCCTAGAGCATTGCTTCTAACTTACTGTGTTTATTCCTTAAAGGACAAAGATGTTGCAAGACTTCAGGATTTCCAGGAACTGGAGCTGGTTCTAATGATGAGTGATAACGACTTTCTGTTCAGAAATGCTGCACCAACATTGACTGAAAGGCCTTGTTATAACAAGAAAGCATCAAAGTTGACTTACTAACTATTTAAACGTAATACCTGTCACTAGTAGTTAATTGTTAAACCTAGGATTTTGTAAGGGCTAATAACCTCAAATTCTACTTTACCTTGGAAGGCAGAGTGAACCTATGAAACATGCTTGCTTGGAAGCAAGCTCAGGCTAAAAACACCAGGACTTGCTTCAAGGCAAATGTGCTTGAGGATCAGGGTGTCAAACTGCATCTGCAGATAATTTTTTTGTGCAGAGCAATACTGAAATAATGGATAGGATGCTAAGCACTGATAAAGGACAGTCACTCCACACAGCAGCATTTCTTGCAAGGGAATTACCCTTTCTTGGAAGACTGCAGTTAGAAGTTCTCAGGGAAAGACTTGAATTAAACTGTTCTAATAACTGCTACTTATTAAAAAATAGCAGGAGCACTTATACTGAAGGACAGAACACAAACTCAATTTAATGCTTGTAATTGGATACTTAACAAGCAGGCACTCCTCATATATCTAGCTAGAGTTAACACATGCTGCTTGAGAAGAGAATAAGCTACTTTTCCAGGGAGGAGGGGAGGAGAAAGGAGAAATCAGGGTTCTCAGCCAACTGTTATGTTGGTATAATGCATCAATGAATTGATGAATTACACTAGGTGCCCTTGGGGAAACAGGTGCAAGACGAATAGATCCTGCTGCCTGCACCTACGGAGAGGAGCAGCTGATGGTATTAAGTGGTAGGATATGAGTGGGGAACCTTGGGACAAACTGTCAGAAGCTTCTGAAGGGGTGTAAAAATTGCACATTTTACACCTTAGAGACAGCAACAGAAGATGACACCCCCCCAGTGGCACACTGTGGCATAGGATGTTGAAGAACCAGCTCAAACTGCCCTGTCTGCTTAGGAGTGAAGCTGGGCTTTTTTTTTTTTTTTAATGGAAGCACAATCCTTAATTTGGCTAGTCCCAAAAGTGTTAATGAATGATCAGCTGTGACTTCTTTAAAGTGGCGCTGATGTCAAATATTGAAACATCTTTACAGCATCAACTGTAAATAATGCACTGATCGGCAGTGTTAGCAAGTAATTCTCTAATTTAGAATTGCTTCTCAGTAGTATCTCGTGGGTGTATTTTATTTTAAGTTTAAGAGGTTTTCTGAGGGATGTTTAAGATGACAACTGCACTCCACAGCCTGATCCCATCTAAGAAAGGAGCACAATTTTCCCTAGCCTTTATTCAAACTAGTCTGGTCTTGACACGGTTTACCTATTTAAAGGATAGTAACCATGTAGCATTTAAATAGTAAAATTATTTTTAGTACCAGGATAAGTTATATAAAATCTTGGAATTGCTATGCATTTTTCAAAGACTTGCTTGCATTTCATATAGGCATGCCTGCTTCTAATCTTGCTAGTTCAGGTTCCTTATAAATATTCTGTTATCAAGTCCTAGAATTTTTTAAAAATCTGGAAAAGGCACGGAACAGAACAATACTTTTGAATAATAAAAACTTAATTGTAGGATTCTGCTTACTAACGAAGAGGGTTTTAAACTGTGGTACAAAAATGCATACTGTAAATTGGATGGCACTTGGGTAGTCAACAGGATAAATAGTCTTGCTGCCGATTTCAATATTCACGTGGGTTGGGGTTAGCATTGTTATTCATGTGCTCATGGCCCCAATTTTGGGCTTCAACTTTTTGAAAAAGCCTAAACAAAGAATTATGAGCAGTCCCACATGAAATTTGCCTGCACTGTAATACATTCTGTGGAAAAATGCTTTCTGCTTTCTGCTGGAAATGGATCACCATATGAGGAAAGATTTGTGAGTAGGGTACTAGTTTCTTATCTGCTTCGGTTTATGCAATTGAAACATTACTGGGGGATGATCTCACTGATCCTTTCACTGTAGCATTAACCCACTGGTAGTCTAGATGCAGTCCAAATAATTCAGGGCTATCAGCTACCAGTCTTGGTTTCCAAGTCTCCTGCCCTCTCTTTGCCATCCGCTTCTCTTAGTAGGCAATGAGAGGAGGGAAAAAGAGAAGAGCTTGGCTGGAGGTGGAGGATAAAGGGGCCTCTCTGTCTTTCCTCTCACTCACCTGCAGGTACACCTCTCCCTTTCCTTACCTGCTGCTTTAGCAAGTGAAGGAGAGAAAAGAGGGGGGGGGGATCATGTGTAACCATAGCCACTGAGTGCAGTTTCTTCAGACTGGCTCATCAGCAAAGAGGTTGTTGACCAGAGCTCTACACGACTGATAAAAAAGGAACCTTTTCCTTTTTATACCATGTAAAAGGTGGGCTGGAAAGGAATGGCCTTCTGTGTACTTATAGATTTCTGAAACCTTCATCCTACATTAGTTTAAAACAGAAAATGCAAACAGCAAATTTACTAACAGGGTCTTTATTGTTGGCCAGAGGAGAACAATGGCTGGAGAGGCCACAAGTATGTTAATCTTCTGTCAGTTTCTGTATGATTGCCAAAGATTATAATTAAGTGTAATTTGCTGTACCCAAACACTATTTTTAGTCTCTGCTTCCCTTCTCAGATATTTGGACAAAGGGGCTTCATGACAAATGTAATTTGGCTTCAAGGTGGTTGACATGCCTGTAAGACCAAGTAGAATCACTGTGATTAATATAATCTATTAAGCTACTGAATTTTAATACTGAGCTGTCCTGTGAAAGGGAGTTCAGAGTTGATGGCATTATTCTGAACAATCACTCTATATGTACAGCTCTTGATTTAGGCAGTATATTTGAAATTAGGACCTACACGGGCTCATCTACAATGCATGGTCAAAAGAAAATACTACTATTAATATCTGTTTTGATATTGTAGCAGTTTAACTGCTTTATAATATATAAGTAAAGCAGCTATTTGACTAGAATATTAACTTCCTTAACAGCTAATGGGAGTGTTTAAACAATGATTTATTCTGGGATAGCCCCTGATCTTACACCTAGTTTTACCTGTTTCAAGGGTTAAAGAGGGGGTTCACCTGAGCTGATAGCCTCTGGCAAGATATCTCATTTCATCTCTTTAACCCTGGGATAAATGACCAACAGCAGCTGGAGTTCACAGCTGGACAGAGCAAGTGCAGTGATTTGTGACAATCCAGGTTAGCAAGGGCATGTGGCTGAAATATACATTAAACTCTTGTTTGGGGATACTTTGACATAATAACTGAGATAAGAATCTCTGGATTTAGGTCGTGCCAGCAAACTCTTGAGATGCTTGTCAGTTCTTTTGATGCCTAACTTCAGTGTCTTCACTGTCCTTGATCCAGAACCTCATACAGTGTTATATCCAGTGGAATCAGGGATTTGAACTTGGAACCTCCCCCACCCCTGGCCTTAAACATTAGTACAATTTATAAATTGCTTGATGGCTAGTGGAGTTATCTGTGATAACACATCATGTTGGTGATTCATTCTAAGAGTCATAGATGACATCACTGGCAAGATACTGTACAGCTATAATGGTTTAGTCTCCCTATACCTTGGAAATCTGATTTAATATACACTCCAGAAAGTGGAAATATTGCCACTGACTAAGTCAGTGTTGAACCAGGGCTCACAAAACACACTTCACCTGGCAAATGCCTTTTGAGGTTTGAAAGGCTCAGGACCTGAGCCTGTGAGTGCACCAGTTCTGATTTTGCAAATCATTTGTTTCTAAAATCAATGTACTCGGTCCATTACTGTGGAAATGCTTGAAGGGAAATATACTTTTGTTCTATAGGACGTGCAGCATCTTTCAGGAGCAAACTCTAAAAGAAGGAGCCCACAATTCAGAACACAATCTGTCGGCTCTAGTAAAAGTGTGCTTTCTTGTGTGCTAGACTATGTCCAAATATTGTTGGTTGTTCTTTCCGGAGTAAGACACCCACAAGCATCCAATATGTGGGAGAGAAACTGGGATAATGTATTGGTTAGCCATAGTATTAATTCACACATTACATTAAGTCCGTTGATTATACTGCAGTTACTGGCAGCTTTCTATGCACTCAGAGGACTATTTTTATATTATGTATGCAATTTATAACAGAGGATTTTATTAGCATTGCTAACTGAATTGTTAACCTGGTAACAACTGTGTAGTTATTAATATCAGTGGATATATAGGATTCAAGACTTACTACATTGCTATATAAAAATAAAACATTATTAGAAAATAAACCAATTGGCTTAAGCTTCAGATTCTTATTTCCTATGTGTGTTGTTTCTTTTTTACAGTAAATACATTTTTCTTGTCTTCTTGTTTTCTTGTAAAACGGGTATTTTTTTAAAGCAGCAGAGAGTAGCCACTCCAGAATTACATTTTCAACGAACACTTTCCTTAGAAAAATCATTCTAAGGACCACACTTTATATAGGGCGGTTCTTAAAAACACTACAGCCATTTCAGCTAGCAGCAGCAAGGTCACGATCACACACAGAATTAGCTGAGCCATAGGCGCGAATGCCGGCAGATTTTAAGAGCGTGATCAGACGCCAACATCTGCCAAGCGGAGTAAAAAGACACAGGGGAAAGTCCAGTAGCAAACGGGTTTGCTATGGGCCAGGAACAGACTTTCCCGTGTGATCGTGCCAGTGCGCTCTCATGCTGTCGGGATGGTCTGATCGGGCCATCTTGACTCCATACCGTTGTCCCCCCCCCATTTTGGTATGTGCATCATTGCACACTGCATAGGGAGCACTCGGTGCAGAGATGCGAAGCATTGATCCCTTGTTGAAGTGCACCGGAAATACGCGGCAAAAAAACCCACCTGACTCACCTGCAGTTGCATCTGATCACGCAGTGGCGGGCTGCCCCTGCAGTTCCCAGGGACTGTATGATCACGCAAATGCGGGTCAAATTCCTGTGGAGCAAATAGCCCCCCCCCCCCCCGCATTATCTCATGCTTGTGTGAACGCTGCCTAACACAGCCTTTCCCCCCTTGTTAACAGCAAGGGCATTACTACACCAAAACTACAAGAGACACAGTGGGTAACACTTTGTTTCAAGGTGGAGCTTAAGGTAGCTAAAGGTACTGGAGTACTGTACTA